AAGTGTTTCATGTGCAATTTGGTTTTTGTTCATGAACTCTCTGCCTACCCCTATGTCTTCCAGGTTTTTACCTACTTTCTCTTCCAATACGTTTAGTGTTTCTGTTTTAATATTGAGATCTGTGATCCATTTTGAGTTGAATTTGGTGCATGGTGATAGTATTGGGTCTATTTTCAGTCTTTGGTGGATAGCAAGCCAATTTTTCCAGCACCATTTATTAAAGAGGCTATCATTCTTCCAGTGAATTTGTTTGGCCCCTTTATCAAAGATTTAAAATGGTTTTAAATAAGAAATGAACATTGAAATCTATCCTTGTTTGCAGGTGACATGATTCTTCATACAGAGATATAAAAAATATACCAGAAAACACTTAGCACTTATAAATTGAACCAAATGACAGGAGACACAACAAATACACAAAAATCAATAGGATTTTTGTGTGCCAAGAACGTACTGTGAAAGAAATCAGGAAAACATTTTCATTTAAAATAGCAAAAAAAAAATAAATTAAGCATGAATTAATCTAAGCAACAAAGAAAAATACCCCTGTAGAAAAATTATAATGCTCTATGAAAGATATTTAATAAGTTATTAGAAAATTAGGAGACCTACATCTTCTAGAATAGGCAGACAAATATTGTCAAAATGGTCATATTACTAAAATTCATATACATGTATGATGGACTTCTAATTAAATTTGAAGAGCCCTAGAATAGCCAAAGCAATCCTGAACAAAAGAGCAAAGTAAGAGGCATCACAATTCCAGATTTCAAGCTATAGTGCAAAGCAACAGAAATAAAAACAGACATATTGATTCTGCACAAAAACAGACGTATTGACAAAGGGAATTTATGAGAGGGTACAGAAATAACCCCACGTATCTTGAGCTATATGATTTTTTTTAAACAAAGGGGCTAATGATATACGCTGGTAAAAAAGAGCCTTTAGAAAACCGAATAGGGAAAGCTGATAATCTATGTGCAGAATAAGCTTAAATCCATATCTTTCACCTGTACCAAAATCAAATAAAAATGTATTAAAGAATCAAAAATGTATAATTGAAATTAATAGATACTCTGCACAAGAAGAAGTACAGAATGCCAAAAACTACAAGAAAATATATTCTGCAATTTTGGCAATTAGAGATATGATAATCAAAATAACACTGAGATTCCACTTCACTTCAGTAAATTGGCTATTATGAAGGACTTACAAAATAACAAATGCTGGTGAAGATGTGGGGAAAAGAAAGCCTTTTACAGATTTGGCAGAATGTAAATTAATACAGCAATCTAGAAATCAGTATGGAGATTCCTCAAAAACCAAATTAGAAATTCCATTTTACCCAACTGTGTCTGTTCTGTACACAATATCTTCCTAAAAGAATTGGAGTTACCATGTTGCAGTGACATATGCATGGCCATATTTATAGTAGCACAGCTCACACTACTTAAATAAAAATTTGGCATATATCCCAAATAACAGATAAATGAATAAAGAAAATGTGGTATATATGCACAATGAAGTTCCAGTTAGCCATAAATAAGGATTATTTAAGTCATTTTCAGGAAAATGGACAGATTTTGAAATCATTATGCAAAGTGAAATGAACCAGACACAGAAGTTTAAACATTGCATAGTTTTTCTAATATAAGCAATCAGTTAAGTATAAATAATTTAAAGAGCAAAATAAAAGAGAACCATTAAGTAACAGGGAGGTAGAATCTGGAGATGGGAAAGGATTGTAGGGGAGGAGAGAAAAGAAGGGATGGGGGAAGAGTAGCAAAAATGATCAAAATGTGATATGCATATGTACCAACTGTCTAAGGTGAATGTAATTATTATGTAAGGGAAGTATGTACTAGTAAAACTAAGTAATAAGTATTGACAAAGATATGTTGAGAAAAAAGCATAAAAAAGATACAACATGAAAACATTACTCCTAAAAAATTTGTTGAATTCTATTAATATGAGGAAAAGTAGACTCTAAGAGGAAGGATGTGACCCTAATTAAAGAACATCACATAATGGTAAAAAGGAAATTTTTTCAGAAAAACAAAACTGCAGTATATGCAAATAATGGTATAGCATCAAAATCCTTGAAGCCATGTTGATAGATTAAACATAATATTAAGCGGATGTTTTAAAATCATTTTCCAGTAGTTAATTTACCAAAAAAAAGTGCCTCTGTAGAATCTACAAAACTTTTAATTGCCTTAACCTGTCATTCATAAGAAAGAATACAGGGGCTGGGGATTTAGCTCAGCGGCAAAGTGCCTGCCTGGCAAGCGCAAGGTCGTGAGTTCGATTCCTGGTACCGGAGAAAAACCAAAACCAAAAAAAAAAAAGAAATAAGAAAGAATACTACACTCAAAAGAGCAGAAGACTACTTCCCAAGAACATGTTCATCCAAGTGGTTTGGGTCAGAGGCAGGCTGATTTGGACAGAATTCTGGAGGGTTGCAGCACTTATTTTACATGGATGTACCTTAACTCAGGTATTTATGACTTCACAAATAAATTCGTTGTATCTTCCTGCTTCATACATTGGGCAGAGGAGCATCATAATGTAATCAAGTAGAATTTTCTCAAGATATAAAATCACCACTAGAGGAACTGAGATAAAATTTCCATCTTTAAATATGGTTTAAGGTCATCTCTGCATAAATCCTTACTTTCTCCATCAACTTTTGCTTTTGTCCTCTTTTTCCTTAACTCCCTGGCCTTCTCAAGGACGCTGAAAGTAAAACTTTTCAAGTTCAGGGCAATTCCATGTGCTCTTCTACTACCCAGCATGCTTTCTGTTCTCGCAGAATGACTGACAATCTCCTACTAAGCCTTCCGATACAATTTTCAACAACTTTTAAAATTTCTTTGATCACCTTCCACCCCTTCTACCTCCATTCCCAACCCACCCAAAGAAAGTAGGTTTACTTTCTTTCTGTTGCATAAGCTCATCTTTTACTGTGTTTCTCCTGGCTAGCAGAGAAAGAAATGCTGATAAAGAGGTCCAGGAACAGAGGGTTCACACTGTTCAGCCTGGGAGCGCTGGAGTGTGAGAAGCAAACTGCTGTATATCACAACATGGGGCTCACCTTGTGCCTACTTTGTAATCTGTAGTCCCTCATGTTCTAAGGGAGGACAATTCACTCATAGGTGAAGTATCTATAATGGTCATGACAATCCTGCTCTCAAAACGTTGTCTGAGATGTGAGTGAAGGAGAGTGAAGGAAATGTTGTGAAGTCAGTCATGAAGAAAGCCCTAGATCTCCATGAAGTTTTACTGATGACCCAGAAATGAAAGGAGAGAAAAGCCTACCTGTGAGGCCAATATTCATTTCCTTTTTTTGTCCAAAGCACCTTTTCCATTAAACCCTCAAATTTTAATATTTATAATCCCAATTGCCTACTCACCTTACATTTTTTTTCTTATCATTAACTACAGTACTTTACTTTTTTTGCAGCTACAACATGATAGTTGCCTGACGGTGGAGTCTTAGGTCTCATTAAATAAAAACTATCTTTCTGTGGGTCCTCAGGGCAATGGAATTGGACCATAGACATAAACTAATCCCACCAGCCACTGAGCCAAACCAGACTTTGAACCAAACCCATAGGTGAAGGAAAGAAAGCCACATATGCACTTTATATAGCTTTTCTGTGTTAGCTCTAGAGACAGAAAAATACCTGATGAGAGAATTTTTTCTGTTGCATATAAGGAGATATTTAAGATTCAACAGCTAATTGGTGTTTGAAGTTCATAGAGTTTCCTTTTTATAATGTCTGATGATAGAAAAGATGCTAACTGACTTTCTATTGGCTCACAGAATATCGCCATGTCAGAGAGTAGGAATATATAACTCTTCCTGCTCCAGGATCCCCATTAAGGGCTGGGAGGGCTCCCTGTATTGGCTAAGGAAGCTGAGGCTGTGACCTGAAACCACAGGATCAGAGTCACCATGCATGGACACTGCTTTCTCCAACAACTTGTTTTTCTCCTCTTCATTGTCTTCGCAGGAGCTCAAGGTAAGCATAGCCTCTCTCCATAAAATGAACAGGAAGACTCAATTAGTTCCAAGACTCTGGGGAGTTATCACGGGATTATTGAGACAATGCCTCTCTGTTGATCATTTGGTTTTGACCAAATGTTACCTTTAGTGACAGTATATGCTCAATTTTCTCTTCTGGTGATCTGAAGTTTTCAAATTCAGCAGCTAGAGGTTGCAAAGATAGATTTTTCTCATGTTGACCATAAACTGTTTTTCAGGCTTCTCAGTAACACCTACATGCTTAGAAAATGATAAGTTTCTAATTTTTCCATTGCAATTAATGGCTAAGGCAGGACCTGAGGCTAGGTCTATGGTTTATATCTTGTGTTATGTCTCCCCTCCAGAATGTTACTGTTTCTTTTCTTTTACCCAGTAAATTGGTCTCTCTCTGTGTGTGTGCGCAAGAGAGAAGAGAGAGGTAAGGGTTTGAAGGCTAAATGTTTGAGCAGGTATGAATAATTATGCACAGAAAAAGTGCTTTAGAGAAGAGTCTACAGAACTCACTTGTAGTCATGATGCTGAATTTGGTGATGTGTGTGTATGTTTATATGATAAGGGCAGATGTATCAACTTTGCTGTGTAAAAAAAAGCCCTCCCAACGTGAAATGTAATTACACCCCAGATAACCCTGCACCTGCAGTCTGAGCCTGCTTTTGAGCTTCATTTTCTACCCCACAAACCCACAGCTCAGGAGTTCTCTGATGTGCTGTAATCATTTCCCAACTTTGGGTTCTGGGCAGAACTCTACCTGTTTATTTCCCTTTTTACCTCTTGGGTTGTGTTGCTCCAATCTAACTGTCAGAAACAAGCAAGCAAGCAAACAAACAATTGAACAATCTGATGTGAGACGTAAGTGCTCATAGATGGTTGATAGTAACATTGAAGACCGAGAAGAATCCAGCCTCAGAGACATCAGAATGTGTCTAATGTCAAATTTCCCCTTCCCTGTAGAATAAACTTGTTGCGTGCCATCCTAAAGGATGTGTGTTTGTAAGAATACTGTTCTGTGACTGTCTTCAGAATAAATTTTCTCTCACATTTCGCTCAGACCCTACATGAAATCTGATCTCCTTTTTGTCCTGGCTTATTGGACTTCAAGATAATAGTGTTTGAGCTCCTGAAAGGAGAAACATCTTCCACATACTTGAACTCACCTCTTCTTAGTGTGGGCTCTGGTCCTGGATATTATACCAGGATTCAATCTCATATTCTCATCTTTTTATTTTTTCCATTACACCTTGGATTGTTACATTTTATCTCATGGTTTTAATTATCATTTAATACCTTCAACTCACAAATGTATATCTCTGCCCAGATTATTTCTCTCAAATTCAAACTTATTTATCTTTCTTTTACTCCTCCACTTGGAACAACGCATTTCATATTAACACATGTTTCACATTAACACATCCCTAGCCAAATTTCTGATCTCCTTCCATTCCATTTCCCCCTCTAAAAATACAGGCTCCATTCATAACTCAGGCCAAAACCTGGTGGTGATCTTTCATTCTTCTTTTTCTCTCATATCTGTTCTATGTCAGTTGGGAAATTCCTGTAATCTCTACCTCCTTACTTCTCTTTCTGTGCTATACCATATTTTCCCTCCCTCTTTCAAGCCCCTTCAGTCTAGAGTCTCTGTCCCTTTTCTTTGGGAAATCCTACCCTTCCAAACAAGAACAAATAAAGTACCTAATTTAAAGGAATTGCTACTGAGTTAATTTTTTTACCACTTATAAACATTTGTATTTGTATTTGTAGCAAGTATATAACATGCATTGGTATACAGTGCTTTAGATGTGTTTCATATACTTAAAAAAGTAAACATTTAATTTGCATTTTGAACCAAATTTGTGATTTATTCTTTGACTCTCAATTTGTACATGCAAGTTCTTTTCAACATTTCTAAAAATAAGCATAAACACTTCTATGCTTTGAATTTACATCATGTGTCATTTTACTGGGATCAAATAATATGATTAATATTACATTATTTTTTGGTATTTATTTAGGCTTATTCTTCAGATGATCACCTGATCTGCTTTTGTAAAATTTTCATGTGTCTTTAATGAAAATGTATATGCTCTTCATTGTGTTTAGAACCTAACTACCTTTTAATAGCAGTCCAAATTTCCTAATTTTTATTGCATTTGTCAGCTTATCTTTTACTGATACATACATGGTGTTCTTGTATTTGTCAGCAACTGGATTATATACTTTGAGGTGTTCTTAATGACATAATTTAAAGCTATTTTTATATTTATAGATAATTAAAATACTTTTTATCACTGGTTTATTTTCCACTTTCTCATAACGTATTGAATGTCAGAATACTTTTATCTGCTATTAACATAAATATCCCAGTTTTAATTCATATTTTTTTCATCCTACATAATCATATAACATTATTTGCAGGGTTTCTGGGTTCTAATAGTTCAGATTTCTATCTTTTAAAGAGTATTTGAATGGTTTTAAAAATATAATCTAGTGTCTTTGGCTCTGAACTGATAGGTATGACAGATTTTAAAATTTTGATTATTGATATATTTTAAGTGCTTGGCATAATTTAAAAATCTTCATTTATTGTGCTTTCAAATATTCAGTACTTAGCTAGGGCATTAGCTCAGGGGGACAAGAGCCTACCAGGAAGATGCAATGTCCTGAGTTTGATTCCCGGTAAAAAAGAAAAAAACAAATAAAACCCAAACAAATATTCAGTGCTTGCACCAAAAAGTAGGGTTTTCCGGCAGTTTTTGATTTGTATCTAGTTATCCCCGTTCTCAGACACGGGCACTTGTGTCAGTTGATGGCCGACCATCTGATCCAGAGTCCCATTGCAGTTTAGGTCACGTGCATGGCCTAGACTTGGGTTGCAGTGGTGTGACAATCCCGGTCCAGTGGACCTATGTCCCCAGGCAGTTCAGGGTACAGGCAAAACCCAGACACAAATTGCAGGGTTGGCAGTTTGTAAACCACCTGATTCTGTGTGTCCAGTCAGTTCAGGACCCATACAAGAACCAGATGCAGGCTGGACGGGCAGCAATCACAGATTGCCCGTGCCTGTGACCTCCTAGGGGATCCGGGCGAAAGTAAAGCATGGACTCGAACTGCTGAACCAGCAGCTCTTGGAGCACTTGGTCACTTGGTGCAGGGCACGTTCAGGGAGAGGCCACATGCGCCGCCCTCAGCTAGAATAGTCTCTTGAGGTTCTGAGTGAGGACCTTCTGTCTGCCACAGGTGCAGGGAGGGCAGAGATTCAGTCTGTAATGGCGGCGGGGTCCTGGGTCACCTGCTCTGCCCCCCGGAAGTAGATGGGAAATTTCTGGCCCTTCTGCTTGAGTTTCAGGTGGGAACCGTGGAGGTGTGAGTAAAGCACGGATTGGAACTGGGGGACCAGCAGCTCTTTCAGCACTCACTCACTCGGCGCAGTGCTCGAACAGGGAGGGGCTACACATGCCCACCCCCTACCCCACCCCCCCAGCCAGAGAAGTCCCTGGGGCTTCTGAGTGAGGACCTCCTGTCTGCCGCGGGTGCAGGGAGGGCAGAGTCTCAGTCTGTAATGGTGGCGCGGTCTTGGGTCACCTGCTCTGCCCTCAGGAAGTAGATGGGAAATTCTCTCCATGAGTTTCAGGTGGGAACAGTGGCAGTGTGAGTAAATCATGGACTCGAACCATGGGACCTGCAGCTCTTGGAGCACTCGCTCACTTGGTGCAGGGCGCACGCAGTGAGGGGCACACGTGCTGCCCCCAGCCAGAGAAGTCCCTGGGGCTTCTGAGTGAGGACGTCTTGTCTGGCTCTCTCCGCGAGTTTCAGCTGGGAACCATGGCAGTGGAAGTAAAGCACCCATTTCTTGTTTTCTGACTCTACTAATCTTTTTGTCATTTTTGTTTCAGTAAGAACCAGACCCAGCTTGCTACCCTGGAGCAGTGACTTTATAAATGGCCCAGCAGGCTCTGCAGCCTGAAAGCAGAATGTTGAGGATGTCCACAAGACAAGAAAACCTTTTTCACCCTCTGTATTAAAGTAATCACTGACATGATTGTCTCTTCTCAGGCAGCATCCAGATCCGTCTGAAAGATGGGAATAATCGGTGTGCTGGAAGAGTGGAGATCCTTTACCAAGGCACCTGGGGCACCATTTGTGATGACGAAGGGGTTGCAGCTAGAGTGGTATGCAGACAGCTTGGCTGTGGACAGGACCTCTATTATACAGATGGTTATTTCTTCGGACTTGGATCAGGGCCCATTTGGCTGGGTGGCCTGAATTGCACAGGAAAGGAGTCCCATGTGTGGAAGTGCCCTTCCTGGGGATGGGGCCCACATAACTGCAGTCACACGCAGGATGCCGGAGTTATCTGCACAGGTATAGTCAGTGAAATTTCTACTGCCCAGGTTTATAGAAAATTCAAAGAAGTAGGTTGTGAGCTCTGGGAATCAGAAAGTGAGCATGCTGTAGAGGTCTATGAGGTCCATCCATAGACTCTGGCAGCTCACATCAGCTGATGATGATAGATTTCAATTAGGTCTTTAGGAATGTTAATCAGTATTTTTTCCCCTCCTGTGATTTTACCTTAAAGGATAGTTTATTATAGTATCACATGATTAAAATCAAGTTTCATAATTTTGTATACATAATTTATAGAAAATCCATACACACAAAACACAACACACACAGACACAGACACACACACACACACACACACACACTCACACAGTCTTTGCAACACTAGGGGAAGGAACAAAAAAGTGAAGCTGTATTTACCATGGTGCAATTTTATGACTCTATTTATAGTACAAGATATTATTGTGCACAATAGGTACATAGGCATAGTGGATATTATTAGACAAATCCCAGAGGAATTTGTGGACTATTGCAAAATATCAAGTCTTATTGCAGATTCAGACACAAATATTCAGAGTTTTTTGGCTCACAGAGCTGTGGATAAAATATTCTGTGTTGGAAGTACTTCCATGATTACTAGAAAAAATTCTCTCTACAGTTTTACTCTTCTCAAGCTATAGGAAATGGATGGTGAACCTATGGCACACATGTTATTTGTTTTCCTTTTAAGACAAAAGATGTTAATGTATGAGTTGTGCTTTTACCATTATTCAGGTTTAATTTCAGTGTTGGCACTTAGTGATAAATTAGTGGGTTGTAGGTTGCAGTCTGGGCACCATCTTTAAAAGGTTCAGCATCACTGCCACAGGAGGACTGGTCTCATTGATTAGTGAAGTGTACAACAGTGAAGTTCAGAACTGTGCTGGGTGATCACTTCATTCTCCAACACCTTTCCATTTTCTTCAGTATAAATTAGGCACAAGATCCTTGCAATTGTTTTATGTTATACTGGAAATCATTTTCTCACACACAGTTGCCATCATAATAGTTAAACTAGTAGGGGCCGTAGTCAAATATCTCAATGGATTTTTTTCAGAATTTAGCAAACAGATAATGCTATCCCACCTGAATTTAAAGATTGCACCACCTTTTTGGTACTAGAAATGCACCATGTCCAATGAAAAAATGTAGAAGAAACAGTAACACTGAAAATATATTTGAGTATCTAAGCCAGAGGCTCTAACTCAGCAGCCCTCAGATGTGGTGTCAGAGTGACCTCTATTGTGCAGGTGGACCTGGGTGGAACCAGAGCATCCAAGGAAGATGTGACAACATCCACAAGCAGGGTCTGCACTCAGGTTTCTGCTCTGATTGTGAGTGGGGAGCAGGGTCATTCCTGTATCTGTTGTTGTACAAAAATGTCCTGATTTTAATGACACCACTGCAAGACTTACCCTCATTAAACCTATAAGGACCTAAAGATTAGTTACTTAAATTTAAGATTTTGTATGTGCATTCTGATTTTTCAGGTAAAGTACGTTATCATTCTACTCCAGCCGTGATATAATTTCAAATAACCTTGTATAATCACTTTAAGTATTCAGACTTTGATTTACTACATTAGCCTCAAAGAGAAATAGAAACATGTCT